GTATTAAAATGGGTCTTAGAGAACCAGGAGGGCGAGGTATGGAATGGAGTCATCTGGTTGATTATATGTAGGAGTGGCTGGCACTTATGAACATGGTAATGAACCTTTGGGTTCCATAAAACGTGGGGACGTTCTTGAGTAGCTGCAGAATTGGCGGATGCTCAAGAAGGGCTCAGCTCATGAAGTCAGTCACTTACTTAATGGTACTGAATTAGTTAAAGAACTAAACATCCTTACTCTCAGCACAAGGAACAAGACACATCTCGTGTTTATGTATCACGTGGCTAGTTTACAAATTTACCTCCATCTTGATTTATTTAACGACGACGTCAATAACTCTGACAGCAGTGCGTGAAATGGGTGGTAAATCTATCCCTGTAACAGGCAATCAAGGCCCATAGAGCTGTGAGACGTCCAGGCTCCAGCATTTTTCTAGAAACTTGGTTCACAGATGGAGATAAGTATGTCAGCCTTATGCGCCGGCCGCCTTTACCCCCCAGGAAAACTGCTGGTACATTTCTATTAGAGGCTGAGTCGGCCATATTGTGGCTGGAACGATTAGGCCAACTGAAAAATCCAATAACCTCATCGAGATTCGATCCTGCGACCTTCCGGTTTCTAGTATAGCGCCTCAACCAACTACACTACTGCGTGCCCCCGAATTATTAGTATTAGGGCGAATTATTCCCTTATAGTAAACAAACACTAAATTCATATGCAACTATACACTGTTAGGATAAAACTACATAAATAACTAACTCCGTGGAGCTGAGTCCATCTTGACAAACCACCAGCTGTTCAGCTACTCAAGAATTTGATAAAATTTTGTGGAACCAAAAGGTGCATTACCGTGTTCACAAGTGCCAGCCACTCCTACCTATCCTCAGCCAGATGAATCCAGTCCGAACCTCTCCATACTCTTTCCCTAACACACATTTTAATACAATCGTTCCTACATTTAGGTTTTCCTAGTGGCCTGAATGAGTACCTAATAATCAAATGTTAAAACTATGCTGTTCACTGTTATTACATACTCATACAGGAAATAAAAATTAATTATATATAAACTGTTTAATATATGCTTCAAAGTCATATTGTAATAGTGCATTAAATTAAAGGAATAAAACAAATCTGATTTAACATAATCTATAGTATATGAAGACTTTATTTTGCTTTTTGCGAACCATGATTGTCTTTTGGAGGCCATGGCTGAGCGCTAAATACATGTATAAACGTCTGATAATGTATTCATAACACCCAGTTTGTTTTATTATCTCAAAAACTGTAAGGCTTATGCAAAAATGTATGTGGCATAAAATGTGTGTTCCCTTTTTCTCTATAGCTTCAGTTCAAACCTTTTTTAGCAAGACATGCAGGGAAATTCAGGTAAAGCCTTCACATAAAATCATATCCATAACTCGTCCAATTTTAATGACCTAACAATTTTTGTGTGAAATTTTCAAATATCAAATTTCCAGAACTAGAGCAGTTTCTGAGTTTCTAGATGCATACGGACTTATGAATGGACTGAGCGAACATAGAAGCCCTCCACAACGTTGAGAACATGCCACAAAACACTTCACTCTAAGTGATATGACTTAAATAGCACTTTGGTAATAACCACAACCCACACTACTTAATTGCAGATTGTGTTGCATCAGCATCAGGGGTTCTCCATCTCTTGGCTGAGCCCAGAGCTTCTTAAGAAAAACAAGATTACAACCTCTCCCAAAGGAGATGGGGGATCTATCCATTTTTCTTACACAACACACCTGCATAGCCATTCACATGCACATACAATAAAATTTCCCTTAATGTTTCCCTGCAGGATTACGAATTTTAACTGCCACAAGCTCCACAGAAAATATACAAGCATAGAATTCAAATTTTATGTATCTTTATATCAGATTTGAAGTTTTCATGATGGAGAAGATTCAGGTTTATACTTTGAAGATAGAGGCCACAGGTTCCTCCACAGTACTGGTAGCCAACCACCAGACTACACAGTGTCATAACCCACAAGATTACAATCTAATGTTACTGAGACTGATTTTGTGGGAAAATGTGAATATGTATATGTATTTATATGTACTGTTTTGTATTTTACATGGTAAGGCCACTAACAATGGATCCATTACACAAGCAGTTCAGCAACAAACAGTGGAACATATTATCATTTAAATGCCTGATGGTAACACAGTAACATTTCATTGAACATCAATTATTGAAAATAATGAGTTGTGACTGACAAATATACCACACACTAGTCCAAAAACCACAAATCAGCATTTACCATTTACAATGCCTGGCCAGTCCACCCAGATTGATGAACTTTTAATACCCCCCCCCCCCAAAAAAAAAAAAAAAAAAAAAAAAAAAAAAAAAAAAAAAAAAACATTAAAAATATACAACAATAACAGCATCTCTGGATACTCCAATCATATACCAAACACAAGAAATCTGGAAAATAACACTACAGAGGTAATTAAAACAGAAAAGAGGAAACCACCTGAACAGCCTGCAGGGATATAGCCATCTGATTAGTAAAAGACAAATCATCACATGACTGCTACTCACAATCTGATATCAGAAATGTCACATCAACTCAGCTCCATTAGACAGCTAAACACTCACCTACACACAGCCTATAAAAAGATTCAGATAACAAAACACCTAAAGTCCTTATTGACCCACCAATGACCATCAAATGTATATAATATATCCACATAAATTTATGTATTCCTACACCTAGAACAGTATCCAAAAAATATACACAATAACAACACTAATTTCAGATACCTAAAACAACAGAAAATAAACAATAACAAGGGACAATTACAAAATCACAACACTAAAGATCTGAACAGCAACAAAGGGGCACCTGTTTAACTTCCCCTTAATTTTAATTTTGGTTATAATTCCAACTTAATTTTAACCCGCACCCAAAACAAAATCTAGACATTTTAACCTTACAGACAACTTCCACGAGCATGTATAATGCAGCAGTTCCGTGCCCTGCATGCTCACATGGCGACTGCCACATATTCTACTAACACATTGCCAATGAGAACATAATGTTAGTCTGAATGATTAAATAAAATAACACACACGTCAAACTTCTCCAAACTGTTCCATAGACAAGACAAAAAAAGGTAAAGCAATCCCTGTAACAGGCCATGGAGGCCCATATGGTTGTTGAGATGTCAAGGTTCCCACATTTTCTAGACAACTGGCTCACAGAGGGCAGTGAGCTTATCAACATTATGGGCCAGCTGCCCTTGACCCCCAGGAAAATTCCTGGTACTCGTTTCTGTTACAGACTGAGTCAACCCCAGTGCCATAGTGCGGCTAGAAGGATTATGTCAATTGAAAAATCCAATGACTTCATCAGGAATTGAACCTGTGACCTTCCAGNTCTTGTCGCTTGCAGATTCCTTATACTTTTTCTTCTACCCTGAAGATGGAGGCTTTTACCGTTCTCACGGTCTTGTCGCTTGCAGATTCCTTATACTTTTTCTTCTACCCTGAAGATGGAGGCTTTTACCGTTCTCACGGTCTTGTCGCTTGCAGATTCCTTATACTTTTTCTTCTACCCTGAAGATGGAGGCTTTTACCGTTCTCACGGTCTTGTCGCTTGCAGATTCCTTATACTTTTTCTTCTACCCTGAAGATGGAGGCTTTTACCGTTCTCACGGTCTTGTCGCTTGCAGATTCCTTATACTTTTTCTTCTACCCTGAAGATGGAGGCTTTTACCGTTCTCACGGTCTTGTCGCTTGCAGATTCCTTATACTTTTTCTTCTACCCTGAAGATGGAGGCTTTTACCGTTCTCACGGTCTTGTCGCTTGCAGATTCCTTATACTTTTTCTTCTACCCTGAAGATGGAGGCTTTTACCGTTCTCACGGTCTTGTCGCTTGCAGATTCCTTATACTTTTTCTTCTACCCTGAAGATGGAGGCGATACGTTCCTCCGAAACGTCGGTTAACACCACTTATACACGGTGCCAAATCCCAAAAGACTGCTTTCTTCATAGTCAACGCCGTGAAAGCCTTAAATCTTACAATATTATTATGAATTACAACATGTTTATGACTAGAAATGTGAGGAAAATGTGGAAAATTAAAATGTATAAAAAAGTGTTAAACTAGATACATGGATATGAAACATGGTCTATGACTGAAATGATATATGGGAGGGAAAAATTTTGAGGAATGTGTATGGGCCAGTAACTGAGTAAGGGGTTTGGAGAATCAGAACTAATCATGGACTGAGGTTATAACATAAAACCTCTGCTTTGGCAGCATATATTAGAAATGGATGACAGGAGTGGTTGGGACATGTAATCAGAATGGACCACACAAGGGTGGCTAAGAATTTTTTCAAAGTAAACCAGAGGGTAGAAGAAAAGTGGGAAGGACAGACTGAGATTGCTGGATGATAAAGAGAATGATTTATGGAAACTGAAAGTGAAGAGATGGAGGAAAAAGGCAAATAATAAAGAAGCAAGAACATCTGTCACAGAGGAGACCCAGTGTCTTAGGGGACCACAGAGCCCAGAAGTAATTAAATAAGTACAAATTTATAATAAAAGTAAAAAAAAAAAAATAAAAGTAAACGTATCCCTGTAACAGGCCATGGAGGCCCATAGGGTTGTGAGATGTTGAGGTCCCCACATTTTCTATAGATGGCGGTAAGGTTGTCAACCATGAGCGCCAACCACCTTTTACCCCCAAGAATATTCCTGGTACTCATTTCTGTTAGAGGCTGAGTCAACCACAGGGCCACAGTGCGGTTTGAAGGATTAGGTAAATTAAAAAAAAATCCAATGATCTCATCAGGATTCAATCCTGCGACCTTCCGGCTTGTAGCATAGTGCCTCAACCAACTATGCTACCGTGTACCCCCAAGAATTTATAATATTATAAATATATATTTAATGTAATGTATGGAACCCTTTGTTGCAACAGTAAAGCAGATTATAGGATTGAGAAACTACTCACCCTTTTTCCTTGGCATGGGCCCCAAGGAGGGATGACAATTCTCGCAGAACACTGTCAGACTTTGACTCTAGCTCTGACATAAGTGTGGCTTCTTCACGCTGATAAATGACCCCACTTGAATTGTCCAGACGACTGGAATCACAATCAAAGCCCGTCACTCTGACAGTATCATACACCAAATACAACGTCAAAGGAATTATTTCCTTCTGTGATCTGAATATATAACATTCAGAAATACTGAGCTTTTGGACTTTGTCCATAATCCTGTATTCTAAAAATTAGAGAACACAATGTTTCAGAAACTGGATCTGCTTCTGTCCTCAGGTGAGGCAGGGAGACACCTACTCAGTTGGGTCGCTTAGAAAGAGCTAATTTCAGACACTGGACAATCCATGTCAGCATAACTAGAGCTATATAAATACCTGAAACCAGGCTTTGTTGATGGGAGATAACAGGAAAATATACAATAAATTTGTGACAGAGCATGCACAGACCTAAAATTAAGATGGTAAGGGAGCTGAAAATTTTATGCAACAAACCCAGCCAACAAACCAAGTCCATGAAAACCAATTCACAGCACTAAATGGAGAATTTTGTGAAAACCATCACTGGACAATCCATGTCAGTATATCTCTGCCTCTCCCTCCATTCACCCAGTGAAGACGGTGAAATACATTAATTAGTGTTCTTTCTCTATGGTGTGTAATTTAGAACTAATTTAGACTTCTTGCCCTGTCCAAGAAAAGTCCGTTATGCCCTCAGAATGAGACTCTTCCTTATCGCTCTTGACTACCAGTGACTAACATTCACTTCTATTTGGGATACACACTTCATAAGCATGTAATGGCTCACTGGTGCATATATACACTCCTGTATTCCTGGTTCTATCATCATATGATTATAAGTATGAAGGTCAGTGGAGCAAGATAATTTCTACACTGGCCAGAGTTGTAGGCATGTGAGCAACAGCTTAGTCAACATCAGATATGCCACAGATAAGTAGCTCTGCAATAAATTGGCGCACAACGCATTGTTTGCATAAGCTGTGCGTTCAGCTCCATAACACTGCATTTATACATGTATTAGCAACAAATGGATATCGAGGCGGATGACGTGCAAAAAAAAGTGTGAAAAATGCCTGTACACATACTCTTATCAGAACTTTTATCAAAGCTTCAGAAATGTGAAAAACGTTAAGTGTGCTGGTGAGACACAACTCTGTACTCAGTTACTGGAACTGCCTGATAGGAGTGTAGAATGCTGCCACTGCAATACACATGCAATGCATACAAATTCATTGTAACATTTCTCATAAAATAAAAGGCACAGAAATAAAAACAAAATGTATTTGAGCATTTTACATAACCAAGTGTTTGTGACAAGATTTGTTTAACAAAGGTGCCATAAGTAGTCTGACAGATATCGTATCAGCATTCGATTTTTGTCCACACACTGTTAAGCCAGCTGAGGGCAGCTGTAGCCACTAAAGCTCTTACTCTCCCAGCAAGTTACTGCAAAGTGGTAACCAAAAGTGGGAGGTATACAGATCATTGATGTACTGCCAAAAGAAAAAATCAAGGCCAGTAAGGTCAGGTGAATGAGTGTGTCTAATGAATTTCTTTGTGTTAGGCAGTTATGTTGCAAAAGTTGGTATGTGCAACTTTAAAATTTCAAACACGTCTACAGAATTTCATGCACTATTGTATATGGTAAGTTTAAGTGTCAAATAGCATGCATGGTTGATGTGTGCAGACTGTGGATGAAAGCCTCTCAAACTTATCCAATGAAGCTTCACTAACTGGTCATCTCCTGGGGCTTTTTTCTTTATCAATGCAAAAAGTCATATCGAACAGTTCACACAACTTGTTAGCTAACATTCTTGTTACTGGTTCGATTCCAGAGACCAAACAAAATATTTTTTGCACTATAACTGCAGACCTAGACTCATGTAACCACACATGCATTTAGGAGCTTTTCTACTCGAGCACCATTTTTACAACTGTGAATGTAGCACTTCAGGTGGAAAAATCTGGAAACTCAAGTGGCACAAATTATAAATGTCACCATATAACCTATTTAAGTATCGTTTGGTTTCCATTTCTGTGTCTTTCAGTTCATGAGCAATGTCAGAGTAAATTTGTATAAATTTCATGGGTACATCTTGTATTTTTTATACTAAAATGATAATATAACGTTGTATCAGTTAATTCGGTCTAGAAAACCGAGATTTAACGACCGTGGGGATCCGTTGTGCTGACCATATGACACCCTCTATCCGCTAAAGTTGGCACTAACTGCGTTAACAAGCAGCAGTCGCTCGGTCGGTACAGTTCACCTGTGGACCAAAGCCACAGAGTTTGTCTTTGTTTGTATCAGTTAATGCTGTATTCTTTGATAGCTGCCAGCAGATACTAGATTACACGTATTATCAATTGTATGTCAATCAGTTTAATGTCATGGATTAAAATTTTCACTATCACTTTTAAGTTGCTCAGCAAGTTGCATTTAAATTCCATTGTCTTCTGTGGCAGAGGACCAACCTCATCCATCCATTCACATGCCACTGTGCATTGCATGTCCCCAATAGAAAGCTGTGAATGTAATTATGGGGTTGGTCACAATATGACTGCAGTCTTGACCTTTGCAGGAAACAACTTTATCTTATGTAGATTTGAGGCTTTCACGGTGGTGACTATGAAGAAAGCAGTCTTCTGGGATTTGGCACCGTGTATATGTGGTGTTAACCGACGTTTCGGAGGAACGTATCGCCTCCATCTTCAGGGTAGAAGAAAAAATATAAGAAATCTGCAAGCGAAGAGACCGTGAGAACCGGTAAAAGCAGTCTGCAGTGAAACTGAAAACAATTTATATTGCTGATAGCATGCAGAGTCAGGGAAACTGTGACAATGTATCTATGAGTAAATCAAAGAATGGGTTATCTACGAAAACTGAAGTTAGAGATGGATTTGTTTTTACTTCTATGCCTTCATATGCTACTGCAGGATGAAAGTCAGCATACCATACTAATAGTAAAAGAAGGGCAGGATCAGTAATGTGACTGGCAAAGCTTCAGTCTTTTGTTGCATTTCACATAATCCAGAATAATGTGCAATTAAATATTAGTACAAGAATAGATTACAAAGTGTGTGTGGGAAAAGATGGGTGTATGATGATGGGTAAAGATTATAAGTATTTTTGACAAAGTTTTATATACAAATAATATATTAGCAAGCTTTCATGAATAAGCTTCATTTGGATAGGACCAGCATGTTATTCTTCAGTCATGTTCAGTATCTTGGCATAAATGCAGCTGTCTTTCAAAAACTTTCAAGTTATTGCACTGTTGGGAATTTTTCATTTTACTATATAACAATTTTCACTGAAATTTCAATGGCTTTTATGCTAGTATTATAATATTAAGAACTGTATCGACATGCTCTTTCCTTAATTATTTAGTATTATTTCTCTCATTAAATTCTATGTCAGCTCTTGTTCATTAAAAGTACCTGTACCAGAGATGTGGAATATGTATAGGCTATTTTAGTTAATTCTTAAAAAAAAGAAAAGCTTACTCGGTTAACACTATGTTTCTAGGACTGTAACCCCAATGTTAGTGGGCAATTTCCTGTATTAGCCTGCAGTCAAGCACTAACAACCAGTGTCCCCCTCAATCACAGAGCTCTGAGAGGATGATTCTACTTATTCAAGTTCAGAGTGAACAATATGTACCTTCCAAATACAAGTCTGTGACATTAAGATTTGAACTAATCTATTCAGTGACATGACTGAAATATACAATACCTTTCAGCTGTGCAGTCAAATAAGCTTCCCTCGCTGCGCTCATAGTCCAGCATTAGGTCATCAGATGCAATGCTCTCGCAGGGAGAGAGGGTGTCAATTGATCCAGTCCTGCTAATTCGTCTTGTCCTTACAGGGCTACCATCAAAAGATGCTGAAACTCGTTGTTTAGGAACTGCAAAATAAAGAATAAATACTGATTAGCAGAACATCAGATTATGTTAAATATGGCAAAGGATTACAAAATGTACAACTACAATTCATTTCATCATAAAATATAGCAAATATCCAACTGGTTCTTCTTGATATCTCCTAAGCCGGTTGATAAATAAATTTAAAATACAAGGTTATTCTTTGCAAAAGTGCATGAACTGAATGCATAGAGTCTAAGCACATGTTTCATCCCCAAAACTACTTCAGGTGACAAAATGTGGTACAGGTACATTGTTAAACTGTACTGATACAATACAAAATTGTGGTTACATATTATAAAAAGAGCAACACTTAATTATGGTACTGAAATAAAAACTAAACAACTCCATGGCTTTTAGTCTGCAAGTGAACTATACCGACTGAGCAACTGCCACTTGTCAGCAAAGCTAGTGCCAACTTTTGTGGATAGAGGGTGTCGCGTGGTCAGTGCAATGGATTCCCACGGCCGTTATTCTTGGTTTTTTAGACCGGATGGTATTGAAATATGGGTTCTAAATAAAAGAGAATCCTAGGAATTATAGGCACCACACACCTGTTTCTTTGGACCACTAGGATTTACTTGATCAAACCACAGAACAAATTATGGCACCTGTTTTGAATACAGTTGAAGAGATACAAGGATACTAACAAAACTGGATAAATTATCTAGAAAACATGGAAAGACACTGTCTGCAACAACTGGCATGTAGTTTCTGACCAAAGGGATGACTGGACTGAGATGTCCAAAATGACAATGGAGAGACTACGACCATTGGTATTCACATGAACAGACCTAATGGCCTAACTGTATAAAGTTCATGATGATGATGATGATAAAGATACCAGGGGAAGCCAAAATTAAAATGTGACATGTGAATTTAATTCTGATTCATTTCTATATGATATAGTCATTGATTTACACGATGTTCAACTTGAACTTCATTAATTTTCTAAAATACAGGAATTATTACTCATATGGTGGATAATGAAATAAATAAACTTCAACTTCATACGGTGTTGCTCCACAGCTTTGCATGTACTGGCTATGACCATGTCCCCTCATATAACTCTCACTCAACCTGTTAAGCTGTGCTGAAATACCCCACATCTTGAAGCAGCTTAAACCTTTCTTTGCAGCTCATAATGGTACAGTACACTTCTACATATTCTGAATATGTCATCAAACAGTCATGCTAATCCTATCTGCTCATCCTCATCCAAAACTCAGGAAAAGCCATGGTAGGGGTGCTGTATATCCTGATGATTACAAGGTTTTATGTATAGGAAAGACAAAAAATAGAATTTACTTTAAATCTTAATGTGTTCACAGTTAGCAGAGTGAAAAGGCAAAATAAGAAACAAAATATTCAAAAAAGACTTTAAGATAACTGAAACAGTGAAACACAGGGAGTCAAAAGCATATGTATTATAGTGAATAATTTTTAAATTTTATTACATATCAAAAATTTCATTTATTTGAACAGGACACTTGTCACTGTAATTTAGAACTGCTAGATCGGCAAGAATCACTCTGCTAAGCACACACAGCTCATGTGTTGAGTCCATAGGCAAATGAATCAGATTTGCTGAGGTACCTAATCCTTCCAGGCGCACTATGGCCCTGGGGTCGACTCAGCCTCTAACAGAAATGAGTACCAGGAATTAATTAAATAATTTTCCTGGGGAGAAAAGCGCGGCCAGCACGTAAGGCTGACAACCTTACCGCCATCTTTGAGCCAATTGTCTAGACAGTGTGGGACCCTCAACGTCTCACAACCCTATGGGCCTTCTCAGCCTGCTACAGGGATAGCTTTGCTTTTCTTTTACTTTAAGAGATACTGAGATAGAGGCAGACACCATTTTTCCAGAGAGACTCTAGATGACTACCTTGAAGAGCAGAAGGCAACATTCTAAATTCATGCGTTGAGTGAAGCTGCAGACCAGACAGCATGGCAAATTTTGTTAAAATACTGTTACCAGGTAACCACTGTAAGGTAATGACAAATAGCAAGTGGAATTAGACTTTATTAAGATTAAACAGACCAAATTATTCATATGGGTAATACAGATATGGAATGGGAATAAAGATGACAGAGTGATCTTGCTGACTGTGATAACAGATTAAGTTTGAATTTATGGAACATTCATAGCCATAGAAATAAAGCTTATATTAGTACACACCATGTATTTATCAAGTACAACACAGCATTTTCCTGTGGCAAGCATTCCATTCCACAATGCGCTCATGTAACCTTTGGATAGGCATAGTAGACACAGTTTTAATAAGAGTAGGACACTACTTTATTGCCAGAATGAAGACCAGTGTGTTAACCCAAACATCATACCAGTGTTATGAGGAAACGAACCCCCGAAGAGAGTCAAAAAATTCATGCTACAAAAATGGCATCAGGACATCACCCATCCAACGTGGCTGCCAGGGTGTGACAGCTCATTTAATCTAAGGAATTCCCATTAGCCAAACCGCTTTACAAGTAATGGCATGACCAAGGAACCATTATAGCATATACGTTAATAATTATAAAAAGAAATAACAATGGCAGTTTCTGCTTATCTGTAAGCCTATGTGGCAAATAAAGGAAAGTTACACAGAGAATTCAAGACTCTGAAATTAAAATCTGAGATTGGTGTCAAATTACTTCACAGACAATTCAATGAATTTTACCCAAGGATCTGAGCTCCCATCCTTTCAAAATTCAGACTAAACAATATGAATAAAAAGGAACAATGATAAAAGCTGAAGAGGCCCACTTTCAATTCAGCAGATGTCACCAAACACAATTTCTTGTCCGTCACACTAACAAATTAACAATCAAGTTCCTTCCATCAAATGTGACACTTTTATAAGTTTTCCACCTCGTCACCACCTGCCTTACATGTTTCGGCTCACCACGGAGCCATCATCAGAGGCATTTATAGTAGAAAAAGAAAGAAAGAAAGAAAGAAAAAGAAACTTATAAAAGTGTCACATTTGACGGAAGGAACTTGATTGTTAATTTGTTAGTGTGACGGACCAGAATGAAAGACCTTAAACNACACAGTTTTAATAAGAGTAGGACACTACTTTATTGCCAGAATGAAGACCAGTGTGTTAACCCAAACATCATACCAGTGTTATGAGGAAACGAACCCCCGAAGAGAGTCAAAAAATTCATGCTACAAAAATGGCATCAGGACATCACCCATCCAACGTGGCTGCCAGGGTGTGACAGCTCATTTAATCTAAGGAATTCCCATTAGCCAAACCGCTTTACAAGTAATGGCATGACCAAGGAACCATTATAGCATATACGTTAATAATTATAAAAAGAAATAACAATGGCAGTTTCTGCTTATCTGTAAGCCTATGTGGCAAATAAAGGAAAGTTACACAGAGAATTCAAGACTCTGAAATTAAAATCTGAGATTGGTGTCAAATTACTTCACAGACAATTCAATGAATTTTACCCAAGGATCTGAGCTCCCATCCTTTCAAAATTCAGACTAAACAATATGAATAAAAAGGAACAATGATAAAAGCTGAAGAGGCCCACTTTCAATTCAGCAGATGTCACCAAACATAATTTCTTGTATTGGGCTTAAAGAATTCTTCCATGCAATGGCACACAAAATTCCAGCCTAAAAATTATTTTCCTGCATAACAGACCATGTCTGAAGAGCACATATTGACCACAGGCCACTGTGCCACGATTACTGAAACTGTATGCACTTATGAGTGTTCTCGTATACATATAACTTCCCCTTCTAGAGCAGTGCCTTCTAAAACATCCAATTCCAGTGTAACCTCCAAAGGCAAGAGATTACATTTTTTCATCTGACTCTGAGAATATAAGATAAGACATAAATGCATAAATCACACTGAAATAATGTAAAATAAATAATATTGTCATGTAATACAGTGTGACTAGAGATGGGGTTTGGATTGGTAAATGGATTTCTTGGCCATTTTAACACACAATTTGTGACTACACTATCACACACAGACAATGTTCTCAGTCACGGTCTTCTTTGCGCTGCTGGGTAACATCTTCCAATCATGGTTGTTCCTATCCTTCCAGATTCCTGGCAGCCATCTCACACAAACCTCCTACTCTTCTTACAATGGCTAATGGCAACTGGTCCGTGTAGCCTATCAGTGTGTCACCGCTCCTTCCATTTACAGTGAAAGAATATCCAGAAGTGGTCAGTGCTCCTGCAGCGCCAGAATGCAAGCCACTAGCAGTCTCTTCTTCCGTTTGGATGGAGGCCAAGTCCTCCACAATGTCCAGTCACTTATCTTCTGCAGTCTGGTGGCAAACTCGACTGCTCACTTTGTGATCTCCAGTTCCACACACTGGATTCAATTAGTTTCTGGCCGCTCTCCATCCTGGCATCACTCTTTCCCAGAGAAGCCTACAATATGGACACCAACTCATGGTAGGAATCCATCCTGGCTTGGTGAGGCAAGAGAATCCATCTTCACTTGGTTGGTTCTTATTTCAGCCTGCAGACATTCCATCACTTGTTCCAGCTCCAGAGTATGACAATATAACGTTCCAGTGTCTTCAGCCAAATGACACATTCAATCTGATCCTTTCTAATCCAATTATCCCACTTCTGACACCAGGTGTCAGGTAATTAAGTGACTATTGATGGGATTTGGATTGGCAGTCAGATTCACTGAACATAGGTGTACAGACAGTGTTCCCAGTCATGGTCTTCACTGCCCTGCCTGGAAGAGGCTTCCAACAGTGTACATTCCCCTTCCTCCAGGTTCCCAAACTACCCTGGCCTCACTTACCAGCTTCTACAACGCTCAACTGTTAGATGAGGGACACTCACACACACTCTCCCCTCCCCACTCTCCCTCTGTCCACTGAAGTGCTAAAGTCAAAGTTACTTTATGACTGGCATCTTACCGTCAATCAGTTCATCTGTGTGCTAAGCCTCTTGAGGTTCAAAACTATATTATTTCTTTAACTGAACCCTTGTGATCATAGTTCTCATGCAACATCCTCTCTGATGGGTTTGTCTCTTATGAATATGCTTGGCCTTCTGTCAAGTGTACATACCAAACATAGGGCATGTTATTGAAAATTCTTCCTTTTGCACTATATACAAGTTCTCTGTCAGTACAGGCTTTGCAGAGCAGATCATGCATAAGTCTGAAGTGCTGACGACAGCTGAACTGCGTTATATAGCCTCGGCATGAACCCCACAGAAAGCACCTCTCCCAACAGTTCCTCTATTGTTGCATCATGTAGCTATTGGCACAAGCTGCATAGAGAACACTGCTTCCCATAGTTACTCCATTGTTGCGTGTTACATAGCCATTACCTAGCAGTGGCTGTTTCTCTGGCTTTCAACAGACATGTCACAATATGTAAACAAATATTAAAGTTAAACACCTAATGAAAATGAAATTCAGGTAGACCTCTGAAGAAGAAAACAGATCAAGTGTAAATTCTGGGGCAGGAACAGGTCAAAGAAAATTATCAATGACACTAATGATGAAGCCAGAAGGTGACAGAACCCATTTCATAAATTAAGCATTGTGAATCTACAGGATAAATACATACCTGGTTTAGATGTGGAGTCTATAAGGGTGGCTGTATTCTCTGTCATAGATAGAAGTTGGCTGGTGCAGCCTCCAGAAGATGTGGCCATGTCACCACTTTCAATATGTCCTCTTGCTGTAGTGTTAGCACCATCATCAAAAGTCAGCCCAGGCTGGTCTGCAATCTCATCATCAATAAGGAAGTCTCTTCCTTCTGACACAGACAGAGAGAGGGATGTGGAGGCATTGGTAGGAGTTCCAGGGCTATCAGGGCTCAGCATGTTTGCAGATCGGTGTGCAGAACCCTCTGCATTGCCTTTGTCATGATCCTGCATGCTCTTATTGTCATCTTTTGGAAGAGGGTTTGATACTGGTTGGTCCTTCTCCAAAATCTCTGATGCAGTGCTGGTGGCAGTGCTACTACTGAAGAGGCTATCAACTGGGGATGTTTCATCTTCAATCATTGTTGGACAAGCAGCAGCTGCTATTGCTGCAAATAAGGGATCCTCAATGGTTAGCATAACAGGTCGTGGTTGCTGGGCAGGTTCTGGAACTGTTACTGTCGTTGCAGCGTTCAAGTTCATACTTTCAGGTGATGAACCACAACGGACACCATGCCCATCCTCACTTGAGCTACTGTATTCTTCTGCCATGGCCTCACCGTGACCCCAGTCTTCTTGGTCTTCAATACTGCATGGTGTGATATGGTCTTTAATAGACTCAGTCTTCTCACTGTGTGATCGATCTCTAAGGGCTTTCTCTTCCCCTTCTCCAACAAGACCATCATCTCGAAACTCATCTGAGGATGCAGTGAAAGAACTCCCTTGTCTCTTGTTATCATTTGCAATTTGCCTCTGATATTGCATTGATCTTTGTTGTACTATCCCTGTATTTTGAACTGTTTTGATTGTGCCATTTGTAGGTTTGGAGCTTGGAATTGAGATCAAAGAGATTTCAGTAATTACATTTGGATCATCAGCTGCAGAAGAATCTTCATCTTTCAGGTCTCTAACATCAAAATATTGGCCATTCACAACCATCTCAAGAGCCCGCGGTTTACGATTTCTACGAAGACCAAATGTTGGACTGCTGTCAAGTTGCTCTATACCTTGCAGGGTGTCAGTCTCTCCATAACAAGCAGCTCCACTCTGATGACTACCAATGCCTGAATCACCATTAAGTGAACCTTCCTTCGATGATGACTCCTCTCCACCTGATACATGGTATGATACTTTCCTCGTGCTGTTGTTTGCAGCTGTTTTAGCCCCTTTTGTTGTCTTTTCACTGTCCACAGATGTAAGTCGAATAGGATATTGTGGCCTGGGTAGAAGTGAGGTCTGGAGGGTGAATCGTGATGCTTTTCCATGTTCGTGATGCTCAGGTTGGGGAATAAGAGAGAGCTGCTGCTTAGTCTTACCACTATCACCACTGCTTGTAATAGAATGTGCAGAGTGTTTCATTCCAGGAGTCACAGGGGTAACAATTTTACCACCTCCTTTAGCCCTTGGTTTCTCAACACGGAGAACACTTTGATTTTCCTGGTTGTGATGGCTGGATGCATGATGTGAAGACATGACAGGTGGGTTACTGTTATAGTTAGAATCTGAAACTTTATTTGTGATGGAGGCTACAGCAGGGCCTCGAAAGCCAAAGCGATTAGTTCTGATCAAGTTTCCATCAGCATCTTTCTTTGGCCGGGAGAGCCTGGGGGTGGATCTCCCTGATGGAATGGGGCTAATACTGTTGAGTGACTCCTGGGAAGCTGCCTTGCTACCAGCTAGGCTTCCAGCATTATCCAACATTGGGGTAGATGTGTTGGTAACTGGGGTTGGTACAGCAGACGCAGAACGTCGCTTGAAACCAAACAGTGTTGCCTGGCCACGTGTGTACGGTGTGGACCGCTTTGCCAACCCCTTATTCTCACCCTAGAAAACAAACCAGATGCAAATATCATCACCCTTCTAACAAACGTTGTATAAGGAATCATTCACATACCTGACCACTTTCCTGTTTCTTTCTGTGTGTTTCTAAGTTTATTAATACCAAGGTATCAAGTGCAAAGATTATGTAGTGTGAAATGATATGTCATAGGATTACAATAAATAGAAAATTTGAAATGACTCTTCTACCATTCATATGCGTATGAAACTTGGTGTCTTACTCTCAAGAAGTACATGGGCTGAGAAATTTATGGATGAAGTGTGAACAGAATATCTGGACCCAAAGGGGAGTATTGGAAACTGGAGGTAATTACATAATGAGACTTTCCTAATTTGTATTCTTCTTTTGATACTGTTAGGGTAACTAAACTGTGAATGCTGAAATGGGCACAGCATGTAGGAGAAATGCATATAATTTTTGGGTCGTAAAATCTCACAGTGAAGAGATAATTTTGGAGACCTAAATGTTGGTGGGTCAGTAATTTTAAAATGAATCATGGAGAAATAAGTTTTGAAGATGTGAACTTGGGCAAATTGACTCAGAAAAGGGTATACGTCTGGATATTGTGAACACAATAATGATAAACTGCTGTAGGCAGGTCTGTATGGTGGAGCCAATAAACAATTTAGGATGCAGAAGGCTGCAATCATGACCTGTTTTAAAGAATCACCCCAGCACTTGCTGAAGGAAATGGGAGAAACAGTTTAAAAAACTCCATTCACAACAGACATACCCAGTACAAGCACAAAATGTTTAAAAACTGAAATCATATATTTATCTGCTTACTTATATATCTACTTTGACATAGGATTCTACAGACATCACCCAGTTACCAGCTGCATGGCTGGAATCTCTTGGAATAATACCTGTTTGGAGAAGAATCAAAATATGCCTAACACTTGTGCCGCCAGGAAGATGAGTGCTGACCACACACTGAGTATGCAAAAAAATTACTCTGCCTAGCCAGTCATGTGGACACATACTAGAAAAGACAAGTGATAAGAGTAGAATGGATTACATAGTGGTGGATTATATTATTAGCAAAGCGACATACCATTTTTCAGTAATCCAGTGTTTTCAACTATTCTCATCAAGTGAGCATGTGTCACTAGACAGACAATTACTATGATGAGGAAGACTGCGTTTTTATTATTTTACAATGCTATATCAACCAACCAGGAGTTCAAATAGCTCAGTTGGCACAGCAACGAGCTATGGACTGGGCAGCAGGGGCAAGATTTTTCCCTCCACAGAATCTACACCGACTCTGGGTCTCACCCAACCTCTCACTCAATGGGTACCATCTAGTACCGAGGTCAATTATGGTGCAGCTATGCCTTCACTCCCTTTGTGTCCTCATGGCGAACTGCTTAATTAATTAGGGACAGGAACAACTTTTTATGGTCCAGTCAGTGTCTAATTATGATGAATCAAAAAGAACACAGAACTATCATCTACTTTAAGTTACATTTTCGTAGAAGAATTCAGGAGAACTATGAAAAGCCTGTCACACCAGGATTCAAATTTGGTGGCTTTCAAATGCGAGTGAGACACATTACTGTCAATTTGAGTGGAAAGTGTGATAATGATTGAAGAAAGCAGTCTTCTGGGATGTGGCACCGTGTAGATGTGGTGGTAACCGACGTTTTGGAGGAACATATCGCCAGTTGGTTGAAGTTATTAGTAAATGACAGATATACCACAATCCTTCTATCTTCTGCCTGAGTCTATATTGACGCATAAAAGGCAGTAAAAACGAAAGGGAGGATAAGAAAAGCATCTTCATCACTATCCGAGTAAGTTAAAAATTGCTGATTCAGTGGCCACATGCATCGACAGCATTACAACCCTATCAAATTTGCTCCCCTTTGCTCAATTACTGACAGACAGATGAAGAGGTAAACATGGTAAAGCTAATAGGCATACTTTTGTGTCTTTTAACTGAAAATGCATATCCGTTTATATCCGTGTGATTTTAAGTAACATGGGAATGTTAGGAAAAGTCTTAAGTCAAACTCCTCAACATCAGAGTTCATGAAACTCCATTCAGCAGTTCATGAGTTGCTACATACGAACAGGTGGCAAATGGCAAAGCAAACAGACACATTTTTGCAACTTCTGCAAACGCACCAGACTTAACAGTTTCAGTGTTACACGTGTGTGCACATTTGCTGACAAGCCTAACAAGGCTAACTACACAAGAGGATGAGTGCTCATCAGTTCTACAGCAAACCATAAATAATCAATAAATGTCTAGATGTTAAAACAGTGATTAATGCCTTTCTATCAAGGCCGTATATTACTAATGTGTTGTTTTACTGCTTCAGTATGCCTCCATTTAACACTTTACTATTTCATATTTTCTGACTCTTATGGAACTGAATATAAACAACGAATCACCTGGATGTGATCACAGGCAAAGTAATGAAGTCTGAAACAAAAGGAAAAGAACTGAAATTCTTACACTCTGAGGAACGGAGATGTGAGAAAGGCTACTTATGTATACTGCTTGCAGTTTTCAAACAGCTCGATGAATTGAGGCTGTAGGTAAATCACAAATATGTCATTCATTTCACAGAGATTTAGTTTCAAACAGGAGTTTCTTAACAGAACATGCAGTCCTTTACGAGAAGGTTGAGTGGGTCTATCAGCCTCTGAGATAGTGCCGGCAGCACTCTTGGAAAATAGTTCGATGGAACGTTATATTCAGGTGTCTTAATACACGTAAAATGCAAGGAGTCAGTATAGCGACGGGCTGGACAGCTGGGGTTAGATTCCTGGCAGGGACAAAATATTTTTCTTTTCCATACTGTCCAGACCGGCTTTGTGGCCCACCCACCCAGCCTCCTATCCAATGGGCACTGGAGGTTCTTTACCCGGGTTAAAATGGCTGGATCGTGAAGCTGGCCAGTCACTTCCGTCTAGTGCCGAGATGAAGAATAGTAGAGCTATACTTCCGCCCCCATACGTCTCCAAAGCATACTGCTTAATTAATTAAGCACAGGAACTTTACTTTTATAATAAAATGTAAACATAACTTATGCATGCTTTGGTTAATAAGGGCTGGAAAATATTAAGATGAATGTCAAATCATGGAGGAACAGAATGAATTCATAAGTTATGGGTGAAAATGGAATGGAAAGCGTTGTGAAGCAAGGGTTCGAGGAAGTAAAAAAAAAAAAAAAGGAAACCTCCCAAGAACATGACAAACCTTCATATTTATGTTGTTAAATATCATCAGGTTTTCTTCGCACTTTCTACATGGTAACGGCCTTTAGATCAGTGTATGAAACGTGTCTTTACACACGTTACCTAGTGCAAAATACGCTAACTCATGACTACATGGTAAGCGAACGGAACAAATGGCGATTTATATAAATACTTCTTCTCGTAATTATCCTGGTAGGCGATAATAATTGAAAGGTCGCGTACTGTCGTAAAAACTCGACCGCAACCACTCTTAAATAATCTGCAGAAATATATGAACCGGTTAGTTTGAAAAGCGAAACATGCACACATTTCATTCACTGGACTGTTGCCTTTTCCAACTAACCGATGCCTTGTGTGGAACTTATTTATGTAACACGCGAACTTAGAATTCCATTTCACTCTTTCAAATTCAAATACGTAAACTTTTATGAATGAAGGCAATGATAGGCCATATGGTAAAGGTAAATTTGTTCCTGTGCTTAACTAATTAAGCACTACACCCTGAAGGCGTATGGGGAAGAGGATATACAGACCCACATCTTTGACCTCGGCACTAGGTGGAAGGTGAGTGGTCAGATTCACGATCCGCTTGCTTTATCAACCCGGAAAGAGCCAAATGTACCCATTCGATAGGAGGCTGGGTAGGTCCCGGGCCATGTGGTACATTTAACACTTCCTGGAATCACAAAAACTCAATCATTACTTGCCATGCTACTGACTGAACGTCTGGGTCCTATTCCAGGCAGGAGCGTAGATTTTTCTCTTTCCCGCTGCATCTACACCCAGCCTTCTGTCCAACGGGTACCGAACACTCTTTCTCTGGGTGTATAGCGCCGAGGTTAAGACTGCGTGGAGCTATATAAACTCCGTGGTCTGTAGTCCGCAAGCGAACTATACTGACCGAGTGACCGCCGCTTGTCGGCGTAGTGCCAGCTTTAGCGGAGCTAGACCGGAGCCACTATTTCCTTCAAACAGCTTCTCAGTTATCCTCATGAGGCTGAATGGACCCCGTTCCAGACCCACTACTTCTCAGAAAATCTGGTAGCGCCGGGAATCGAACCTGGGACCTATGGATCTGTAGCCGTAAATCTATGACACGGGACCCATGGCTTAAAGTCCCTCCCGGAGGACCTGTCCCCTGAATTTTTCCGCCCTTAAAAATTCCACGACCTCCACCGGGTTTGAACCCGCGTAACCTGAGTCATGAGATGGGAACGTTATCCCTAGACTACGGAGGCCGCTTACGTATAAATAATGTTAACTTGAGCATCATTATGCCACTATCTGACTGAAGGCGACATTTTATACAAAACGAACATACGAAAGCATGTAACAGTACTTAACAGGCATAAACAGGCCAACAGCTGAAAATCACCGCATGCCGAGAGAGCTTTAGTGCAAAAATAAACAAAGCTCCACTGTCTATTATTGGCATTACTGCTTTGTAGAAAGCCAATGAGTTACACCCTGTCAAGTCTGGCCGACTGTCAGTTTCTTCAGCTACAGAGCCACTATACAGATTCTCATAAATCAGTCACGGAGATCATCAAAAAGTAGACGAGGAATTTTTCAGTCTATATAATACAATTCACACAAGAACCTGACGAACTCGGCTGTTATCTTTTTCATACGCTTCGAACCAGAACATTACATTAAAGCGAACTATACCGACCGAATGACCGCCGCTTGTCAGCGAAGTTAGTGCCAACTTTTGGGGATAGAGGGTGTCACGTGGTCAGCACAACGGATCCCCACAGCCGTTAATCTCGGTTTT